CTTGGGAGCGCTTTCTTTTTTTTTTTTTTTTTTTTAAGAGTCCGCAAAGAAGACGTTTGCTCTTGGACCATTTCAGCAGCGCCTCCATTGATAACGATATTAATTTATCATCTTTCCAAACCCTCTGTGATGGATAAAGACATTCCGAGAGTCTCCCGTGAACGGAATCGCGATGAGCATTAAGAAATTAACCACCGCAGCCAGCGTCTCCTTACAAAAGGCTCCCGTTCCATCTCACTGAGCAGCCTGTTGGGTCGCCCCTTGCCCTGCCTCCCCCTCCTCCAGTCTACAGCCAATGGGGCTGAATTGCAGGCTGCTGAGAAGGTGCCCGAGCCCAAAGAAGATGCATGCAGGGCATCATTAGGGCAAAAGCATGGGACAGTCCCCACCATCTTTGCCAGGCATGCTTGGGGTGGAGAAGTGAGCCTCCGGCTCCCAGGGCAACCTCCTGTGTCTCCCTCATTCTGGATTCTTGACCTTCACTTCATGTGTGCCTCAGTTCTCACCCTTGGTTGTACAGGGGAATCACCCGGGAGAGACATAAAAATACTGCAGTCTGGGTTCCGCCCCAGAGATTCCGCTTTAATTACTGGATCCAGATGAGGCTTGGGCATTGGGAATTGCCTCCTCGGGTGATTCTTATGTGTAGCCAAGGCTGAGACCCACAGAGGCGGAGAAATGGAGGAGAATAAGAAATGAGGATGGTGGTTTTGCTCTTGGCAGTGTGGATTCAAGGAAGGCTCACAGGTGGCTTAGACTCCCGAATTTTTTTATTTTGAGAGAATGTCAATATTTTTATGAGTCCCTTGATGAAAACTGGGTGGGGGGGCATTTAAATTTAAAATTAAATAATTTTTTTTTTTTTTAAAGACAAGGTCTTAGTCTTATTATGTTGCCCAGACTGGCCTTAAATTCCTGGGCCTAAGAAAACCTCTTGCCTCAGCTTTCTTGTAGCTGGGATTGCAGGTATGCCTCACCGTACCCAGCCTTTAAGTTTTTTAAATCTTGCTTGACAAGACTGGGGAAGCCTAGCTGAGAATGGTGGCACACAGCTGTAATCCCAGTGACCCTGGAGATTGAAGCCGGAGGATCAAAAGTTCCAGGCCAGCATCTGCAGCTTAGGGTCTCACTAAGTTGCTTAGGACCTCACTATCTCAAAATAAAAAAATTAGAAAGAGCTGGGAATGTCGCTTAGTGGTTCAGCACCCCTAATAGCACAATATCAAGACATGGGATCA